GACCGTGACCGTGACCGTGACCGTGACCGTGACCGTGACCGTGACCGCGACCGCGACCGCGACCGCGACCGTGATCGTGATCGTGATCGTGATCGCGATCGCGATCGCGATCGTGATCGTGACAGGGATCGGGATCGCGAACGTAGAGATAGGGATAGGAGAAAGTCTCGCTCTCGAAGCCGCAGTCGTGGAAAAAGGTTTGTTTGTAATTGATTAAGAATTATTAACATAGCAGTTAGTTTGACAATTTTCTAACGTGAGAATTGAAACGATGCAAGTTTTCGTTCTCGCGAGAACGTTGGAATCTGCAAACAAATGGAATATAATTAACATTTAGACTGTGATTGTTTTAAGCAAACAATTGTTTGACCTGTTTCAGATCGAAACGCTCACGCAGTAGTAGCCGTAGCCGTCGATCCCGTTCTCGCCGTAGTGGGTCCAACGATCGGAAAAGATAAAAATAATTGTCATTTTTAATTATGCTCAATCGTTTCTTTCTTCGTATTGAATTCTCACGTGCTTGCGTATGCACATTATATGTAAAAGAGAAAAAGAAAAGAAAAAGGGAAAAAAGAATAACAAAAAGGAAACAAGATCACGTCTACTGAACAATTTTTTCAATAGAACTTTTTCTTCGATGATACCAAGATTTGTACATTGTCCGTCACAATTTACTAGAAACACCAATATTTCGAAAATATCTTTGTGTAAAATTAGATATATTCACCTGTCAGTGTAAAGAAAACAGGTATGAATTTATTAGATATTAATATACTAACACACTTATTCTATTTGATCTTGATATACCGATTGTACTTTTAAGTCTAGTTGCTATTTCGTGTACATAAATATAGTTCAGATATAACATTTGAAAATGTTATATATTTATAATATAATTACATTTCATGTAATTATTATATGAGTATAAAAAATGAAAATATGTTCGAAAATATATACGTTTAAATAATTATTATGGTTCAAGCATTGCAACTATGCATTTTCTCATAACCTTACATTTCACAAGCCAAAAATTCAAATCGTATAAAAAAGAAAATAGAACTTTTTTTTTACAACACATAAGAAGTAGAAAATAAGGATATATTGTTAAAACTTTTAAAATTAAACACCTTACGTAATTAATACTGTTTAAGAAGGGGTATTTATTTTAAGAGCCATGTACATAATAATTATTGCAGAGCTATTTGTACATACAAAAGTTTTGCTTAAATTTATA